TTTTTTTTTTTTTTTTTTTTGCTGCTTTTATTGAGGCTGACTGATCCTTACTTTCTGTTTTATATCTAGTCTGCTGTTGAGCCCTTTTATTGTGTTTTTCAGTTCCATTATTCTTCAGCTCTGTGATTTCTGTTTGGTACTTTATTAAATTTCATCCCTGTTGAAGTTCTCACTCTGTTCATCCAGTCTCCTCCCCAGTTTGGTGAGCATTTTATGACCATTACTTTGAACTCTTAATAAATTTACTTATCTTCCTTTCATTAAGGCTTTTTTATGAGGTGTTATCTTATTCTTTCATTTGGAACATATTCTTCTGTTTCTTCCTTTTGCTTGACCCTCTGAATTGGTTTCTCTACAGGAGATGGTGTTTCATCCCCTTTTCCAGTCTTGAAGGAGTGACCTTGGGGAGTTGAACCTTTTCATTCAGCATTACCCAGCTCTTGGTCATCTCTCAAAACTGAGTTTATCCAAGCAACCTGTTATATTTTTAATAGCTCCCAGTAGTTAAGGATGTGCCAAGAGCTGTCAGTGTTCCCTAATGGAGGATCTCTGCACCTAGATTCAGACTGACTGGAAACCAAACCTTCAGGCAGCTGCTTTTAAAAGTATGCAGATACATACAATCCTGAGGGGCCAGGAGCAGAAGCCTCACTGACCACCAGAGCCAGGCATCCTGAGGGATGTCCCCTAGGTGGCATTCACAAAAACTGGGGTTCCAAATGAGTATATGAGCTCCTTTCTGGGAGACACCAACAAGCTGGAGAAAGACTGAGAGCACCAAGATGGTATCTATAGCCTTTGTTCCTTGAGGAAGCACCACAGGCCACTAAATGCGTGGCAAACCTAAGTCCTGCCCTTAGTCCAAAGCTCCAGGACGAAGTGGCCTATTGACAGGAAAAACTGAAGGGATGCCTCAGTCTGCTGTCTGTGCAGTGCCCTGAGGGTAGTAGCCTGCCAACAACTGCCCCTCCGATTACCACAGTCCCTGGGGACCCTGGAATGCAAGCCCCTCCAGCCACCACAGCCAGGTGATTTACAGTGTGCCCCCTGAGAATCAGGCACTGGACTCAAAGCTCCCTTCCAGGAGAACTGGCACTCCGGAGCATGGCAGAGGGTGAGCATGAAGACAGCACCTGCCCTCCAAGGTCTCTGGGAAGGATTTTAGTCAGCCTCTAGATGATTGTTTTAATTAGAAGCCTGCACCTCAGGCCGCAGTTATGATGATTAGCTAATAGGCCTACTTCACAGAAAAACCAGGGTCCTGGGTCAATTGCCTCTTGCTGTGCCTGGGAGGGGTGGTAGCTGGTAGCTCTTTAGGCATTCTTTGCACATTGGTTACAGTCCTTTGGGACCCAGGAACATTCGCCCCACTGGCCACCAGTGTCAAGTGATGTAGAAGTGTCCCTTGGCAGCAGTCACAAAAACTGGAGCACCAGGGAGGGTTCTGAATTCCTTTGTAGGTGATTATTACATTCCCATGTGACCAGAAACAGAAGCTCCTCTGTTCTCCAGAGCTAGGTATTCAAGAGATGTCCCTCTGGGCAGCACCCACAAAAATCAGGGCACCAGGGGCGCCTGGGTGGCTCAGTTGGTTAAGCGACTGCCTTTGGCTCAGGTCATGATCCTGGAGTCCCAGGATCGAGTCCCGCATCGGGCTCCCTGCTAGGTGGGGAGCCTGCTTTTCCCTCTGCCTCTCTCTCTCTCTCTCTCTCTGACTCTCATCAATAAATAAATAAAACATTTAAAAAAAAAAAAAATCAGGGCACCAGACATGTGTAAAGGTTCCCTTCTGGGAGCTACTCATCCTCTGGAGCACAGCAAAGGGAGAATGCAAAGATGGCACTCCCCAGTCTCCATCCCTGGGGAATGTTCCAGCAGGCTCCTAGATGTGTAAGTTGAATTAGATGCCTGCCCCTCAGGTGAAGGTTTTAAGCAGGTTATTTAAGCTGCTTCTGAGCTGGGCCCTGGGGCAGGTCAGTTCCAGCACACAAAGCCTTTAAAAGGCATTTCTCAGATTGCTAGATTTGTGGGTCCCACTGTGGGACATTTCGGGGATTCATCTCTGAAGTTCCTGTCTTAGAAGTTGGGGTGACCAATGTGGGGTTTGAACCTTTCATTCCTCAGGAAAAAGGTCTAGGTATTTTGAGTTTCCTCCCAGTTGTGGGTCGCAGCACCTGGGGTGGGGTTCATGGTGAGATTGTGTCCCAGCCTCTCCTGCCCACTTTTGATGTGTTTTTTTTTTCTTGTTTGCCTAATGTGTAGTCATCACTCAGTCAGCGTTTAGGTTTTTTAAGAGGAAATTGGGTCCATATGTAGCTGTAGATGTGGTATGTTCCTGAGAGAAGGTGAGCTTAGGGTCTTACTACATCACCATCTTGAATCAGACCAAGTTCTCGGTTTCTTACTGATCTTCTGTCTGGCGTTTCTATCCATTACTGAAAATAAAGTATTGAAGGGGTGCCTGGGTTGCTCAGTTGGTTAAGCATCCAACTCTTGGTTTTGGCCCAGGTCATGATATCGGGGTTGTGGGATCGAGCCCTACATCAGGCTCCATGCTCAGCGGGGAGTCTGCTTGAAGATCTCTCCCTCTGCCCCTCCCCCCATTTGTGCTCACTCTCACGCTTTCTTTCTCTCTCTGAAATAAATACCTACATCTTTAAAAAAAAAGAAAATAAGGTATTGAAATTTCTGATTATTACTGCAGAATCATCTATTTCTCTTCAATTCTCTCAATTTTTGCTTCATGTAATTTTGGGGCTCTGTTAGGTTTGTATGTCTTTATGATAGTAGTATCTTCTTGCTGAACTGAACCTTTTATCAGTGTAGTACTTCTGGGTCTCTTACAATCTTTTTTTTTTACCTTAAATCTATTTTGTCTGATCATAAAATAGCTACCAGCCCTCTTTTGGTTATTTGCATGAAATATATGTATTTTTTTATCCTTTTACTTTAAGATGCTTTGTGGTTTTACACCAAAGTGAATCTCTTGTAGACAGACATAGGTGGATCTGTTTTTTCCTCTCCTCTTTTTCCATTCTGATCTCTGCCTTTTAATTGGGGGCTTTTAATCTGTTTTCATTTGAAGTAATTACCGGTAAAGAGTTATTTCTGCCATATAGCTATTTGTTTTCTCTGTCTTACGTATGTTGTTACTTAATTTCCTTCATTACAGCTTCTCTTTTTGTATTTACTTGTTTTTTGTAGTGAACCTTTTTGATTCCCTTTTCTGTGTATTTTTAGTTATTTTCTTAGAGATTACAACTAATACTCGTAACAACCTAGATTGAATAATAGCAGCTTAGTTTCAATAGTATACAAACACTTTGTCCTATACAACTCTACCCCCTCCCTTTCGTATTGATATTGTGATAGAAATTATATCTTTTTACATTATTTCCATTTACATAGATGTAATTATTACACATTTGCCTTTAAAATCTTTATGTAAAAATAGTTAAAATTGAAAGTACAGTAATGCTGGCTTTTTTTTTTTTTTTTTTTTTTAAGATTTTATTTGTTTATTTGACAGAGAGAGAGAGAGAGAGCGAGAGCAGGAACACAAGCAGGGGAAGTGGGAGAGGGAGAAGCAGGCCTCCCGCCGAGCAGGGAGCCCGATGCGGGGCTCGATCCCAGGACCCTGGGATCATGACCTGAGCCGAAGGCAGACGCTTAACGACTGAGCCACCCAGGCGCCCCATAATGCTGGCTTTTATATTTACTTAATGTGGTTACCCTTTACTATTTGCTAGTGTTCTTTATTTCTTCTCAGGGTTTTAAGTTACAGTCTAGTGTCCTTTTATTTCAGCCTGAAGGACTCACTTTAATAGTTCTTTTAAAACAGGTCTGCTAAAAATGAACTCCATTAAGCTAGTGCTAAATTTCTCCCTTACAGTAGTCCCTCAAAACATTTACATAGAATATAGGCTAAGAAGTCCGCATACATTATCATCAAATTTTTTCTCCCCTATTGATGCAGTAAATCAGTAAGTCCCATGGCTGCCTGAGAATCATCCTGGGAACTTACTACAAACAGGCCTTACCCTAGGTTTGTTGATTTAGGTTCCCTCAAGGATTCTAATGTTCATCCTGATTTGGGAGTCACTTTTACTTTAGAAATTCAGGTATTCCCTTCAGATACTTTATGTATTAAATGAGTATACAGTATAAGTGGAAAAGCAAAAATAGTTTGAGTTGTGACTGCTTAGCTGAATGACTGGTTACTGTGCACATGCAATTTGGAGTCATGTCACAGCAGAATTCCATGCAAATCCTAGACCTGCATAGTTTGCAAATAGTCAAAAGAAGAAAGGCTTTGCTGCCTGCTGGTTTCCTCATCATTGCTGGGCAGTGATACATGTCAAATCATCTAAATGTCTATTGAATACCTACAGAATGAATCTTTACATGCCTCATGAAGCTGTCAGACTTTCTTGTATTAAGCTTTGTTTTCATTTTTAATATTTTATGGTTTAGTTTATATTTTACTCGTACTTTGTTATATCCAGACAACAGACCTTCCCAATAAGATGTGTAATCCATTAAGCAAAGCACCTACTTTCAGTCTCTTTTAATAGGCGAAAATGTTTATCATTTAGGTGCCTATGGTTCATGCTTGAAGTTTTAATGACAAAGAATGAAAACAATAGCCATGCCTTTATGAAGAAGATGGCAGAGAACATCAAGTTAACAAAAGATGCCCAGTCTCCAGATGAATCCAAGACAAATGAAGTAAGATATGTGTTAGGCCAGCGTGTATTAAGATAATTACAGGAGAAAATATTACAGTCCTTGTCCCACTTGTTTTTCCTATTACATAATAAATTAGATTACAGAATGTTCATAAAAATACATATTTATGGTCAGTTTTATTGTATTATAATTGAATTCTATTACTGGAGGAATGTTTATTACCCTGAAAAGGACATTAAAACTTCTACAGAGCAGGGGGATAAGAACTAATAAAATTTACTACTCTGCTGTCTTACAAATCTTTAATAAGTTACAGACAAGTAGATACTCCTTTTTGTATGTTTCCCTTGATTTGGTTTGGTTTAATTGTTTTTAATGCATACTCGACATTCATGTTAACTAGGTAAAGGGTTTTTCTGTTTGTTTTTTTGTTTTTACCAGGAGGCTACATAAGAAGAAATGCAAACACAAATGTGAAATGTTCAAGGAGTAAATAATACCCACATATCCCTCTTTTGATTTCATTTTATACGTTGGGTAGAATTGGTACTTGCGGTTATTTTGTGCTGCTGAAAGTTATATATGATCTTTCTCTCTTTCCTCCTTAGAAACTTTATACAGTATGTGATGTGGCTCTGTGTGTTATAAATAGTAAAAGTGCTTTGTGCAATGCAGATTCACCAAAGGATCCAGTCCTTCCACTGAAATTTTTTACGCAACCTGAAAAGGTAATTTTTTTCTCTTCATTGTTCCACCACACTAAACTAATTTAAATTTCAGTTACCATCAACCCTAGTGGCAAATAGTGGATTTTCTTGACTACAGAGTAAGAAATAGCTCTTTGTATTTATATCAAGGAATGGGAGATTGTCTTCCAAAGCCCTGAACAAATATTCTCACCTTACAGAGTAGGAGGATGCAAATCAAGCTTTATGGTGGTATTCTTCCGTGAGCTATTCCTTCTGGATATTTCTAGTATTTAAGAGGAGTTTTCAGATTTCTTAAATTGCTTAAATCTCACTTTATTAAAACACTATATTTTATGAGGCAAGAAATAAAATGTTTGGTACAGTGTAAATATAAATATATATATAAATGAAATAAAATGTTAGAATTAACAGAATTGGGTCTCGGCAAATGATGTATTCTGATCAGCAGCTTCTGAGTTCAGGGACTTCAGACAAGTTAACTCTTCTAAGCCTCAATTTCTGTCTCTCTAAAATGCAGGTAATAATACCTATGAACAATTATTAATACTTGTCTATAATTTTATGCGTTTGTCACATAATAAGCATTCAGTAAATGGTAGTAATAATTAATACATCATTTATTCTGCTATCAGCAAATTAAGTTTTCCATCTAAGTAAATTTTCCAGCTAACTAAAGCTCTTTGTTTTTCCAACTAATCGAAATTTAAAAACTTTTTTTAGAAAAAAGTTTTCTGTTTATTTACTGCTTTAAGGAAGTATTTGGAAGTTTAACCTTCCTGTGCTTTGTTTAGAAAACAGGATCCTATTTTTTTTTTTTTTTTTAATTAAGTAGGCTCCACGCCTAGCGTGGGGCTTGAACTCAGGACTCGGGTCAAGAGTCACATGCTCTACCAACTGAGCCAGCCAGGTGCCCCCAGAGTCCTAAGTATTTTTAATTGGAAAAGACGTCATTTAAAAGTTTTTATACATTTTCAAACCTTAAGACATGCTTCAGAATATTCAGGGTAATACCCTCGCTTAGAGTATTTTACAGAAGAACATGAGTGAGATCACTTAAAAAATTAATAAACTTCTTGGTCATAGTGAATCACTTTAGTTATGTGACACCATTGTGGTTTATATGTGTGCTATTCCCGGATATTTAACAGAAGCATCAAAGGATTCTTAAGTTTCATATAGATAAAACTTTCAAGAAAGTATCATCAGTGTCCACATTAGGTTTAATTCATTTATTAACTAGTAAACATCACTGCCACCAAAGAACATTATAATTCACTTAATTATATTTTGGCAGTGTATTTACATGCCAAATGTAAATTTGATTTGGACAGTCTTCTTATGGTTCTAAGAAACAATATTTTTTTTTTTAAGATTTTATTTATGTGAGAGAGAGAGAATGAGAGAGAGAGAGCACGAGAGGGAAGAGGGTCAGAGGGAGAAGCAGACTCCCTGCTGAGCAGGGAGCCCGATATGGGACCAGTATTTTTAATTAAAGTGACAGTTTTTTTTTCAATGAGGGTAATTTTCTTGAGATTCAGTGTGGAGTTACTTTAGTGAATATTAAGTGCTTAATATATGTACTGTACCATTTTGGATGCTTTGGGATCCCAGATGAAGTTAAATTTTACAATAGAGTGGAGAATAATCTGGAGACTATTTGCCCTGAATTATATGAAAAAAATAGGAATGTGTTTTATTTAAAATGTGATTTAAGTAATTGAGCTCTGGTATTTGCCAAGTCTTATGTGCCATTGAGTTAAAGCTAGACTTAATGACATGGTTCATTAAATATGCTTTATTTGAGGAATTAATGTGTATGCTGGCCCAAATGTAATTGTTATAAGGCACAGTGCCTGAAGAGTCTTATTTGGACAATAAAAATACACATGTTCACTTTGTTTGTTTTGTAGGATTTCTGTAATGACAAGAGTTATATTTCAGAAGAGACTAGAGTACTTCTGTTAACAGGAAAGGTATTGTGTACTAGATAATTTGGAAATCTTTATCTCATGTGTACATTACTTCTGCTGTTCTTAGAAATAACTTTTAAAAGCCCCATGGATTTTATAGTTCCTGATTCTTAAAGACCGTATTGTGGATTGTAGCATCTAAAGCATTTGTTCACTCAGGCTTTTTTCTGCCATAAGTGACTCTTGAATTACGGCCATGTGTTTTCATCAGTACTAATAGGCTTCAAGTTACTGATAATACACAAAGCAGATTTTCTTGAAAAATGGTATAATAAATTTAGATATGCAGATTTAAAAAAGAAATAATTTTAAAGTATTGAGCTAGATAATTTATATTCTATGAAAGTAACATAACACCTAAAAGAGCAAAAGAAATTTAATTTTTGATAAAAACTGTATTATATACATTTAATTATTTATAAGACATTTCATTATATCTTATGTATTTTGCTGTGTGTTTCAGGGGCACTTTTTTTTAAAATTTTTATTGTTATGTTAATCACCATACATTACATCATTAGTTTTTAATATAGTGTTCCATGGTTCATTGTTTGTGCATAATACCAGTGCTCCACGCAGAACGTGGCCTCTTTAATACCCATCACCAGGCTAACCCATCCCCCCACCCCCCTCTAGAACCCTCAGTTTGTTTTTCAGAGTCCATCTTCTCTCATGGTTCATCTTCAGGGGCACTTTTTATGTTGATTGAGCAATAAGAAATAAATACTGCCTAGTTATTTTTAAGTAGAGGTAATACTTATGACTTGTAATTGTATTCAGACAAACTCAATTTTGCAAAATTACCATTTCTAATAAGTTTAGAATTTAACTTTCTAAAGTAACAATTCCTTGGCTTAGGCTAAACAGTATCTTTTACATGTGTCTAAATTTATGTGAATTCCTTACAGTAAGGTGTAAAATAATATGCATATGTAATTTTTAGCCAAAACCTGCTGGAGTACTAGGTGCAGTAAACAAGCCTTTATCAGCAACGGGAAGGAAACCGTATGTTAGAAGCACTGGAGCTGAGACTGGAAGCAATATTAATGTAAATTCAGAGCTGAACCCTTCAACCGGAAATCGATCAAGGCAATTTTTTTTCTCCACTTGTTTTTGTTACTGTCACTACTTGGTTCATCTTTTAATTTTTACCTAAGGCACTAGATCACAAACATAGACTTCAGGAAACATTTTGGCATAAAATAATAGCACTGAGTTTTAGTATAATTAATGATGGAAATTAAGAGTGCACAGTTATATTTTGAACCCATGTAACATTCTAAGTATGTAAAAAAGTAAATGGAACAAATTTAAGAGTTTTTTTTTTTCTTACGATTTTATTCATTTGAAAAAGAAAGACAAGTGTGAGAGCGAGATCTCGATGGGGGGAAGGGTAGAGGAAGAAGCAGACTCCACACTGAGCAGGGAACCGGATGCGTGACTCGATCCCCAAAATCATGACCTGAGCTGAAGGCAGACGCTTAACCGACTGAGCCACCCAGGTGTCCCAAATTTAACAATATCTAATATAACTAATTTTCATGGAAATGTTTATATAAGAAAAATGAACACTTAGGAAAACTATGAATATAGAACTCTTAAATCGAATTTATATGCTTTTTAATGTTTAACTCAAATTAGTATAGCGTGAGTTAAGATGACACTGTTATAACATTTCTACTTACAAGAATATTCCATGTTTATTTTAACATGTCTTTACCATGTTAGCCACTGCATAAAAATTTCCACCTAACCCTACTCTTACCAACACTAAAATTTGAAGCTTTTAAAGATTTTATTCTTACTCATGAAATTTTAAGTATAAACTCAATTGGTGTTGTTATAAACACATTCTTAGCAGTAGAACCCCAAAATATAAATTAACATGGAACATCTGTGGTTTACAGAAGTGGTGAGTCTCCAACATCTCCCCTGTGACCTCTTCTTCCAGTCCCCTCCCTTACAGAGCATTAAGAACACAGACTGGAGGGGCACCTGGCTGGCTCAGTCAGAGGAGCATGTGACTCTTGATCCTCGGGATTTTGAGTTCAAGCCCCATGTTGGGCGTAGAGATTACTTAAAAATAAAATCTTAAAACACACACACACACACACACACACACAGACTAGAGACAACTGTACTATACACTATAATACATCTATCACTGTATTTTTACTTTGTTTTAGGGTTTCCTA